CCAAGCAGGGAGAAAGGGCCTGGATACTCGCGTTGCTGTCTCTTATACACATCTAGATGTGTATCCCCCCCCCGCCCCCAACCCTTTGTTGCTGTACACTAAAAAAAAGCATGACTATGCCAGACTGTTTCGTTGAACTTTCACCGACTCATCAGGAGGTTGAACCCCGACAGTCTGCCAAGGATGCATCCGTCCCGAGTTAGCGTGTGCGCACACACACACACACACACACAAAGCATACACAACAGATCTATTCAATCAATCGATCGAACCACCGATTGAACCATTCAAATCGGTGCAATCAATCCGTTTGATCGATTGATTGAATCGATCGTGTGTGTGTGAAACGGTATTCACCAGTTCGCAGTAGCTGATGCAGATCCCAGGGTTCGTCCCTAGTTCCCACCTTACCTGTGTACAGTACCTGTGTCGACACTTAGAGTTGAACTCGTGACCTGTGTATTTGTAACGGTGGTAGACTGTCGTAGGGTCCAGAGGTCGCAGGGGTTCGATCTGTAGACCTGTCGTGTAGGAGTCTTAGCCAGGTCTAGAAGTCGTAGCTGTAGTCTTCCCGAAGAGTCAAGGTCGTAGCCGCTGCAGTGTCGAAAGGCCAAGTCTACGGCCTTCCGGAAGGTCCCAGTAGTGGCCTTTCGAAGTTGCCCACACTTAGACTGAGGCAAGTGGGCAAGTGGTGAGGCAAGTGGTGGAGTCTGCCCGTGCTGAGTCAGCAGTCCCAGTCCTAGGCAGTCCTGTCCCAGTCAAGCAAGAACCGCATGGGACTGTGTGCACTTCAGGCATGGGAAAGGGCCAGACCAACGAGTTGCAGAAGTATAAATCAAGAGGCAGCGCCCAGCCATTCATTCATTCCTGCGTGAGCCATGCGGAAGCGCTGCCACAGCAACTTGTGCAAGGAGGTCTGCAGTGAGCCCGAAGACGAAGGGGGCAAGAGAGACGAAGCTTAGCCATAGCGATAGGGTAAGTCGCGGCCATAGCCGCCATAGCTGTAGTTGGAGTTCAGTGTGTGTGTGTGTGTGTGTTCAGAGAACTGCATGGGGGATATCCAGGGTGATCCAGTGTATGCGAACAGAGAGTTGTTTGGGCGCTGAGCCGCCATAGCCATTGAAAGTGAACTTGTATCTGGGTGGCCATATCTCTGAGTTTTGAGTGGGCGCATGTCGCCAGTTTGCTGCGCTACTGTTTGCATGCATGTAAAGTGTGAATGAAAGCGAGTCTGATTGCATGTGTGTCATGATCATCCGGACTATCCGGACCGATGCGGACCATGTCCGGACGGTCCGGACTGGTCCGGAATATATCGTCACAAACAGAACCGCCCGGTAAACCGTCGGCAGAGAGAGAGAAGAGGACAACAAACGAGGGGCTGTGACAAACTGTTTCGTCGGAGTTTCACCGACTCATCAGGAGGCTGAACCCTCAACAGTCTGCAGAATCCCC